CTGTGATTGCTATTTGGCCACATGTTCATCCTTCAACTTTTCCAATGTGGATGGCGCCGATACCGGTGCTAAGTCGTGCACTGCAAATATCTCCTTAGCTGCATGTTTCTCTCCATATACTATTTTCACGCCATCCTTTGTTGGGAACTTCATCATCTGATAGAGGGTCGATGGCACTGCCCTCATGCTATGGATCCACGGCCTTCCAAGCAAAGCATTATACCTCATGTCACCTTCGATGACATGAAATTTGGTGTCTTGTATGGTTCCGGCTACGTTGACTAGGAGTATGATTTCTCCCTTTGTTGTTTCACTTTCCATGTTAAAGCCACTCAAGACTCGAGATGTCGGTATGATTTGATCGAGCAATCTGAGCTGCTCCATGACCCTTGACATGATTATATTTGCCGAACTACCTGGATCCACGAGAACACGTTTAACTTGAACTTTATTTAAAAGGATAGAAATTACCAGTGCATCGTTGTGAGGCTGAGATAAGGCCTCGATGTCTTCCTCGCTAAATGTGAGGGTGTCTTCGGGCATGTAATCCCGAGTCCATTTCTCCCTTATGATAGATACTTTGGTACGCTTGAATATAGGTCCCTGTGGGACGTTGACTCCACCGATGATCATGTGAATGACATGTTGAGGTTCTTGAGGTTCATTCTTCCTGCCTGCATCTCTCTCCCTGAAGTGATTCTTAGCTCGATCACTTAGGAATTCTCGAAGGTGGCCCTCATTGAATAACCTAGCCATTTCTTCCCTTAACTGCCAGCAATCCTCCGTTCTATGACTATGTGTGCCATGATACTTGCACATCAAGTTTGGGTGCTTGTGGGAGGGATCGGTTTGTATTGGCCTGGGCCACTTAGTACCTAATGGCTGAGACGATCCCTGATGCGTCTATGCTGAAGTTGTACTCTGATAATCGAGGGACCTCTGTGGTGTTAGTGTGCTTATTGAACCCGTTCTTTCTCATGAGTCCTCGAGAACCTTGATCTCGGTCACTTCTCCGATTGCTCCAAGAGGTGTTGTGGCTCGGGCCATTGTTCCTTCGATCGGCATATGGTTGATACCGTTCTTTGTTGAATCTTGATGCCCGGTATGTGTCCCTCGAGGGCTTGGCTGCAAATCTATTAAGATGAACTGAGCCCGGGGGGGCTCCCAACTAGTCGTCCTCGACCCTAATTTTTTACTGATAACGATTGTGCACATCCGACCATGTCACAACTGGATATTCGATCAAGTTCGGCTTTAGTTGTCGAGATGCAATCGAGCTTCTTTCATTCAAACCTTGCATAAAGGCCTGAACTGCCTAGTCATCGAAAACCGGTGGTAAATTCCATTCTTTCCATCTGAAACTGGGACACGAACTCCCTTAGCATCTCGTCATCCCTTTGTTTTATTCTGAAGACGTCAGATTTTCTTGTGGCCACCTTTATAGCCTTGGCGTGTGCTTTCACAAAGGCATCCGCCAACATAGCAAATAAATCAATAGAGTTAGGAGCTAAGTTGTGATACCAGATCATAGCTCCTTTTGATAGTGTTTCCCTAAACTTTTTCAATAATACTGACTCGATTTCATCATCATTCAAGTCATTTCCTTTGATTCCACAAGTGTATGAAGTAATATGTTTGTTAGGGTCAATTGTCCCGTTATATTTGGGTATATCGAGCATACGAAACTTTTTTGGGATGGGAATCGGAGCCGCACTTGCAAGGAATGGTTTTTGTATGAATTTTTTGGCATCTAATCCTTTCAAAACTAGAGGTGCTGCCGGTATGTGGTCTACCCAGGAGTTATAAGTTTCCACCTTATTATCATTGTCTTCTATCTTCTTTTCTCCGGACTAGATCCTTTTAGTCAGTTCCTCGAGCATTTTCATGATTGTGGGGTCAGTCCCAGAGCCGTTTTCATCGGGCCTTTCAAGCACTGGTTCAGCGTGTCGGGTGTTTACTTGTTCGGCAGTGTTTGGAATTCTATTTTGACTCTTAAGTTGAGCGATGGCAATTTGCTAAGCTTGCAGCATCTCGAATTTCACTTGGAGGTTGACTCCTCCTTCTTCCATTCCTCATGCTTCCTGGTCTCCGGCTCTAGCTTCCCTGCGTGCATTCCTTACAGGAGTTGTGCCTGCGTCCATGTTTAGAGCGTTATGCGAACTGATATCAACTTGCTCCATATTTGGCACTCCCTCAGGGTTTATGGGTCGTACACTGACCCCTATACCGCTATTTTCTCCGAGTCCCTCATTTTCATGAGTAGGTGCATTTTGGGCGCTAGACATATCTTAGCCTGAAATCAAAGAATCTGACAAGAAAAAGTATGAAGAATAACGTGTGTTATCAGAAAACTAGCACTAAAATAATCAATATTATCTTTATCCCCACGATGGGCGCCAAACTGTTTACCTCGAAAAATGTGAGTAACAATTAAAAAAGATTTGTGGTTTTAAAGATATGTGATTTATTCTAATACTAGTGAATATACGGGTAATATTAAGTTTAAGTAAGAAGAATTGATGAACCAAACCAGTGTTGTTAGAGCAGCAAGGACCTCGAGCTCGACCACCTCAGGGACCTCGAGGTGAGCTAAGAGCAATAAAGTATGAGCAATAAAGTAAAAATGATAAAGCTGAAGAACAAATGTTGAGCACGATAAACAAGAAAAGCAGAGTAGAATGTTCTATTACAGTGAATAATGTTTTTTTAAAAATGATTGGGGTCCCCTTTATATAGGAGGAGAAAACCCCAATATAATACATTCCTAATTGTGGTAAAAAATTCTATTGGTACAGGTGTATAACAACCTAGTACGGACCTATACCATTTCGCACAAATCTTATTCTTTAATTTATGTCCTGATCTACGTGTCCTTGAGAAATTCTCGTTCTTTCTTGAGTGTCTTCGAGATTGTACTGCTCTCGATGTAGGTCGTGTCAGGCCTTCGATCTGCTCCCTCGAGGTGTGTGTCCTTCAGCCGGGTCCGACCCCCACTTCGAGTCACCCGGACCCAAACTCATATCCCAATTTAAGACTTCGAAATCGGGCTCCTTGACCGTATACACAGCTCTGTCCCCAAAAAGTAAAAACAATAATGAAACTTAATTTATTTACACTAATTCAATTAATTTAATATTTTGTGGTGTTTGACAATCCATTAAGTTTAAAAAAGAAAAAAAATCCGAACTAGTATTGTTTACATAGCATGATGTCATGACGTTTTTGTGATTATAAAAGTATGTTACATAGATAAAATAAAAAATTTAAAATTAAATTATTTTGTAAATATAAAAAAAATGTCACCAAACTAAAAAAGAATGTATATAACCTAAACAGAGAGAATACAGATTATTCAAGTGACCTGATTATCACAACAACAACATATCTGATACGATCCCACGCGGCTTGATTATAATATATTTATGTTGAAGTGGCATTTAGGGGGCGCTTGGACATATGAATTGTAAAATTTCAAAAAAAAAAAAAAAAAAAAAAAAAAAAAAAAAAAAAAAAAAAAAATCAAGTTAAAATGGTATTATTAAATTAGAGTAGTGTTTGGACATAAATATAATTTTGGGTTGTTTTTGAATTTTGTAAAGGATCTGAGTAAATTTTAAAAAAATAATTTTTTTGAATTTTTTAAATTTTGGAAAAATTCCAAAATTCATGTTCTAGTAATTTCGAAAATTCTTATATTGAAACTGGCTCTTAATTTGTTATACATAACATACAATACAATACAATACGAATGATTTAAGTATTTAACGAAAGCCAGGTGTGACAAGTCTTTTTCCGCAATCTGAGTAGCAAAGAAATCAGCAAAAGCTATTTGTATACCTTAGGCATTCAACTTTAACTGCTACACCGCCAAAGGCTTATCTGAGGATATGTAAAGTAAAAGTCACAGCTCACGCTTTTCCAGCTACTCTTTTTCCCCACCCTCCTCTTTCAAAGTTCCCATTCTTTTGATTTTATACTATATTCAGACTTCCCATAAATCCAATGCTTTTAATTTGGGTCTTATCTTCCTGAGTAAGTTGTATTCAAGTGTGTGCATGCATCTTATTCTTGTTTTACTTTCTTCTTTAATTACCCCTCTAATTGGCTTTGTTAAAATGTATTCCCAGAAAAGAAGGGTTGGGTCACGAGTCTGTCTCCTTTGGCTTTTCCCCACTTCATATAAAATTAAACAAGCTTTTAGAAAAACTAAATTGCATGTGCAACCTCCCAAGACTACTTAATTAAATGCTGACTTGCCATATTATACCAACAATTGGAATTAATCTTTCTTGATTCTTCGTCTTTTACAGCTAATTAATTATGTCTTTAATAGATCTGCATAATGGCATTCCTCTCATTAATATATACACGGAATTGCAGTTTACAATAAAAGCATAATCAAACTAAACAAAAGTATCATTTCTCTTTTAACTAACCGACAGTTACCATAAATAAACAAAAATTTACTTTTGACCAACATACCTACCTTATGCATATATTGACATACACTAAGCTTATTGCTCTTCATTCCCATTAATTCTCATATTTCCAAATATTTATATTAAACATAAATATGAATTAAAAACCATTGATATCTATTTTTGTGGCCTCAACCCCTATGCAAGTCTATTGATCTTAAAGGTACTTATTCTGAATTTCTTTTGCTATAGTTTTGCTATCATACTCATAGGGACCAAATCACAACATATTATGGCTCAAGTTCTGTACTGCTATGGAACTTCACTTGCTCACCAGAATAAAATAGTACAACAACGGTCAAGTGCAATTCCACTAATAGGGTCTGGGGAAGATAGTGTATACGTAGACCTTAACCTACCCGAGGAGGCAGAGAGGTTGTTTCCAAAAGAACTTCGGCTCAAGAAGACCACCGGAATAAAATCTACTTCACATTAATTAAACCAAGAAACTATCAATCCACTTTCTCAGTTCCCCTGCATCTGAATTCCTAGTAGAATCCAGGAAAAACGCAAGTTTGGCCATACAGTTAACAAAAGTATGATAAATTACAATCATATTTTCACAAAACTTGATGAGACAATATAGTGTATACATAACAAGAAGCTGAAGAAAACAGAGAAGTCTCTGGTAGCACAACCCATTCTCTTTCTTACTAGTTTCTACTACTACTACTACTACTACAATATTCCAAATAAACCAAAAGAATATTCTAAAATAATAAATAAGAAAATTTAAGTCCTACCATAAACAAGAAGATGGACAAGGAAGGCCACTACTATGATTGCTTGTGTTGTGAAGGCGAAGGAAAAACCTTCTTCTTCTACTGCTAAAGATGCCATATTTTAGCTTCAGCCAAACCAGTTTTCTGAGCTTTCTTGCTGATCTGAGCTTTACACATATAACCCTTTTCACCCTAGTAAAAGACCTTCTAATCCTCTCACTCAGACTTTTCTTCCTGCTGAATTGGTAGCTTCTCAAGAACAACTGCCTTTTCTCAATATCTGTGTACCCTGACGTCTCTGTTCTGAACATGTATATTGGCCCATATGAATTCACAGCCATATCCACACACACACACAGTAACTTGCGTGTCTGTCTATGTAGAGAGAGAAAGCAAGTCTAGGCTTGTTTGGAGGAGAAGAAAGAATTGTAGTGGAAGGAGAAGAGAGAAGGGATATATAGCTAGGCAGGGGTTTTTTATTTTAATGCAGTGTAAGCTTTGTATTAATTAATTAATTGTTGCTTCAGCGTCCACAACGCCGTCGTAATGGTGGCCTATGCTTTTTTGCCTTTGTAGTAAAGCCAAACTTTTCTCTTTTTCTTTTATCACCATCCCATGCGTGAATGAATTTTCTTTTATCTCAATGACGTGGCAATTATATCAGTTTTTTCGCTTTTCTCCTTTTCCTACTTTTCTACTTCGCATATGAAAAACATAATTTATATATCATAGTTGATGTCTACGCTAGACTAATATAGTTGTTGTTATAAATATATTATATTATGGATGTTCATTTAGTACTCCGTTGTAAATAAGCTTCTTGAAGAAGCTTATCCATATGGGACTCCACCGTAAATATGTTTATCTATTTAGTACTATATTGGAAATAAGCTTCCTGAAGAAGCTTATCACTTCGGTACCCGGTTATGGATAAACATTACCCCCAGTATAAGTTTATCCATACCGGATATAATAGGCTTATCTTTTCAGTACCCAGTTATGGATAAACATTATCCCCGGTAAAAGATTATCCATACCGGGTATAATAAGCGTATCCATTCAGTACTCCGTTATGGATAAATATTGCTCTCAGTAGAAGATTATCCATATCTGGTATAGCAGCAGCTTACACAGCAGCTTGTAGCAGCTTACACAGCAGCTTGTAGTAGCAGCTTACACAGCAGCTTATAGTAGCTTACACTGCAGCTTGTAGTAGCAGCTTACACAGCAGCTTGTAGTAGCAGCTTACGGAGCAGCTTCCTTTCTTCTATAAATAGAAGAGATTTCAGTTCATTATGTACATCAGTTTGAATTCGAATAATATATCAGTTTCTCTCTATACTTGTCTTTACTTTATAGTCTTTATTTTATAACAGTTGTGTCATTTTCTTTCCTTTTTTTTTCTTACAAGATATAGTGTGTCAATTGCATAAAATTTTATGATTTAATCATAATTCAATGAAATATTACTTCTTTTAATTTATGACTAATTAAGATTGAACTATTTGATTTACAAATATCAAGTGTTAAAAAAAAATAATTCTTCATACAAACTGAGTTTTGTAGGCAAAGACATAAATTGTTAAGTCAGTGAGCAAGAGTATGGAGTACTCTTACATTTATAATATATCACTTTCTTTTTGTCAGTTTACATAGTGATATTTGGATTTTGAGAGAACCAAATTTTTGTTAGCGAATTTTGCATATGATTATTAAAAATTTTGAATTGATAATTATTGTAAGGAGATAAGGAAGGTCACGTGACTTATATGGGTTTCGTGGGAAATTGGACGAAGTGTAAAGAGGAAAATCACGTGACTTCGTCGGGTTTGTTTTTGTGTATGGGATTTTAGCAGTTATGTTTAGAATCTGTTTTTCCCTCCTTTCTATTTGTCTATCTGGGAGGTAGGGTCGGATCACACCACCCAAATCAGTTACGGTTTGACTTTTTGATCCAGCTTTTTTTTTTCGACCAATAAAAAAAATCAGCATTTTTTAAATATTTAAAAACAGTAATAACTTTAAGTACGTGTGTGTAATACTGTAATTTGATAATATGTTACGTGAGCATGCATGGTAGGATGATCATCTCAGTGTTACATTTGCTCTTCTTCATTCATCACTTACAAAAATACTAGTGTATAGGTCAAGATCTACCACAGAATATTTAGGGCGAGGTAGTATTAAGGGAAGAATCAGTCGAGGTCGATCAGAAAATGGCGAAGCCCGTGATCAGAATGTTAACAATAATCGAGGTCGAGCACCACGGAAAGAGTTGTAACGGCTAGTTTTTAGAATAGGATAATAGAGGGAATATTCTAAAGAATATTCGCTGCACATGTATTATTAAGATTTGTTAGGGATATGTCCCATATAAAGAGGAAAAAAGATAATGTAAAGGGGATATATGTGATCTTCGCTTGATAAGAACAGACTTTTGATAAATATTCTCTCTCTTATAAAAACTAGATGGGATTGGACCGTGCTCGGATTATAGTATATTTCATTTCGACAGACAGTTAAAATTTAAACTAAAAACCATATCAATGCGCTCGAGAAAATCACTGTCGATCCTGGTTCTCAAAATGACACTGTTGTCTCTTTGGAACTTTCGAAAATTGAAAATGAGCAAATGTCAAGAAATTTTGCTAAGCTCCGTGAAGGTAGAGTACCTAGTACCTATAAATATTGAGTTGGTGGTACTATGAAAGTAAGTTAATTACGGGGAAAAAATAATACATGTTCGTTCTCAATTATTTGTACCTTTCATTTAATTTTATGCTAGAGGAGAAATAAGGTTTGATATAATGATTGCATTCCTAAGGGAACTTTATCTATGATATAATTTGGATATCGAAAAATGATAGTACCAGAATTTTTAGTTATCACTAATTCTTGAGATACGTCGAACAAATAAATACTAATATGATGGTTGATCGAGTTGTTATATGGTGTTAAGCCACCAAACACTTGAGAGTGTACAGAGCATAACGTTAATAAATTTTTATATAGATATTACTACATGCATCATACAGATGCAATGCAAATCACATAAAAATTACAGAAGTGGAACGTTTTGCCGGCATTGAACTCTTGATAGCCTTATCTAAGAACTCAAGGGAATCCAATACATTGGCACACTTAGCTGACACTTCATGTTGATGCTTTATGTTATTCTTGTCATCTTGAAGTTTCTCCATCTTTGTTTGCATCTCCTCTGTTATAACCGTAATTTCTTGTTTGTCAAGTCTAGGGTGTGAAGGCGATTGATCCTTTGATCCTTCCTTTATGATTTTAATCCTACCTGCAGAAATAATTGAAAATATTGAAATTAATAGGTATATCAACACATAAAGTAATAAATGTTAAGACCAAAATTATAAAGAAATATGTGAAAATATTGTAAGGCTAAAGATAACCATCTCGACTCACGACTATTCAGTTCGAGAAAAATATCAAGTAGAGCTTGTCCCAAGAATGAACGGCTTAGCTTATACGTAGTTGTTTCTGTTCCCCCAGTCCAAACATCTGATTCTAATATTAAGAGGACCTCAAAGAAATCAATAGAGGGGTTGATTTTGTTTGTATACAGGATGGGCGGGATTATAATAACATTAAGGATGGAAGTGGTGATGACAGAAATATCAGGGATCTTGAAGGAGGTTGGAGAAACAAGTATCCCATAAATGATACACGAGTTTAACGGCTAAAACAGTAGTAAGCATTACAATCATATCCTAAATCAGTATAGAATTACACTTCAAAAGTTTTAGTTAAGAGTATGGTCAGAGCGAAGGAAGGCTGTGTTGACTGAGGTATGGTCCCAACTTCTGGTGATTTGCCAGGATTAGTAATATAACCTTAATGCTCAACCAAAATAGAGAGCAAAAATAATTACTTGAAAGCAATTAATCCAAAGAAACGCAGAAAAAGTAAGTACCATATTTGTGGGTAGGTCATGCGCAATAAATACAAAATTAGGAAGGAAATAGGTAGACTTAAATAAGCTAGGCGTAAATACAAACATGAGGAAGTAAACCTGAAAACTTAAATAAGCTAGACTCAGTTATAGACTTATAGTACATCATTTAGAATGGATAGTTAATAAGAGGGGGGGTACTTTTGCAACATATTGTACATACAATGGCACCAACAGAATTAAGTTCTGGTCTGCTATTTGGTGTAGAAAGTTGTCCAATATTAATAGTCTACCAGCAACTCCTTTCAGTAGTCAGTCACAAAATGGTCGGGCTCTCAGATGTTTATTTAGAAGAAGACTTCAAGACGGAAGGTTAATAGTTATATGAAACTCTTAAGCTAAATAAATTCTCTTTTAAACATCTAATTCTGGAAACTATTAACAATATAATAGTAGGCATTTTCAACTATTTTATATTTCACTCACTCCTAAAACAAAGGTTTGTAGCCTCTCTTCTCTAAATTAACCCATCTGATTGGTTCATGTATTAGCCAGTGATCACCACTAGAAACTAAAAATATGTTCTGTCAAGAATTCAAGATACTAATCCAGCACAATAGATATTCTTAGTAGCTTTTACTATTAAAGTAATATCTTTTTCTCCCTCTTCTAAATATCCTCTTGTATATAAGAAAGATAGAAAAATTTTGAGAATATTTGTGGACTTCTAAGTATTCAATAACGTTCCTTGAGAAAACATAATTGCTTCTACCAACCTATCAGTGTGCATCTAATATACTATAGATAGAATAGTATATTAGCTCTATCTATTTCCAAGTTTCATCGAAAATGAGTATGTCGTATGCATCAAAGTGTAAACTTTCACTTGATTCCAAAGGCAACAACTTAAATGGTATCTCGAAAGGTGAACTCTTGATGAATTTTCTTCTCTAAACATGGCTACAGAGGTTATTTACATGCTATTCTTGAATGCTTATAATTCCTCATTATGGAAACTTTCTTGTCTAAAATCCAGAATGCTTCAGCAAAGTACAAGTTTATTAGATCATGATTTAGCCCTTGTCAGAAAGTATTACTCAAGAGATACTTCAAAATAATCTAACACTAATGGTCCATGGGTGCTTAAAAAGTATTTCAGATCATCTCTGCATTAACAACAAACCTAAAATTTTCCAGCTTCTTTTATCCCTTGATATGTATTCAATATAGAAATACAGCAACAAATATCTCGCTTATCCTAAAGATGGTGCTGACATGTTGAATTACCTAAGGTTCATTTCTTTATCATGACATAATTGACTTTCTCATCCAAAGAACAAAAGATGGAGTTGCAACCTGGTGTTCTTCAGCTATCTCTATCCAGCAATCACAACATCAACATAATGCTTGAAATGAGCAACTCACGGCAACAAAGTTTAAAGCTTGTTGAAACTTTTCTCTTTAACCTTGCAATACAAATAAAACATATTGATCGTGGGCTTTCTGAATATTAATAGTTCTTTTCATACAGCAGAACCGTAATACTACTTATTCTCAATCTCTGCCTCAAGCTCACTCACTCTTTCTGTTTTCTTTGTTATATCCAAATGCAGCTAAAGTGTACTGTGATTTTAGCAAAGAATTCCAAAAGGAAACTACAAAAGCAATTGGGAAAGACTTTAGCCCTCTCAGTAATCTTGAAATTCAAAGAAAAAGCAGCTTTTGGAGTTTGATCAACATAGATTTAAGTTTTTTCATGATATTCAGGCATAAAAGACTCTACAAATTGCAGTAATTGTTAAAAATTAATTGAACTGAAAAATACTTCAACATAAACTATTAATAAACTCATCTTAATCTCAGTAGAAACGTTTATGCAACCTCTAAATGATCTTGCATAAAAATTAACTCTAACTGTAACTGAATCTTATATAAGTTAGCAAATATAAGTAATGATGCAGTAACTTAAATTAGAGAAAAGAGAATATTGTGCCAATAGAAAGATACAGTAAAATATATTTGGTGTTGGAATAATAAAGGCAGTGTTTCAACATTGTAAATATGCACAACACTCTAAAACAACATATAAGAACATAGGATTTATATTATTCTCCAGAATAAAACCAAATGTATTTTGGAATTGCGCAAAAATAAAAGATACAAAGATAACTATTAAAGCTAGACTAGATTAGATTGTCTAAATCAACTTATTAAATAAGTTTCTATAGTATGCCAAAATGTTATGCAACAACAAATACTCTTATAGTCTTCTTTAGGAACAGGGATTTATAAGGTTCATTCCTGACCTGGCAATATGAGCTACCCACAATATTGTCAAGCAGTTGCCTCGCAATCCTTGCTTTTTTATTCCCATATGAACTTCAGTAAAATCTTATGTGCATTTGAAGACCTTTCATTCATTCACTCCATCACTAAAATGAGAGTAGAATGATAGAATGCACAAAAACTCAATTTCGAACCTTAGGTTAAAATCACCTTAACGAAAATACAAACAAAAAAAAGCAGAGAAAGCAGGGATCCATGATTAATTACCAGTTTTCTCCACCGTAACTTAACTCTCATCACCGAATCTCTCCTTATTTCTCTTAATCTTCTAGAAATTCAACAGCAACTCACTTTACCACCTAATTGACGAAGTTGTTGAAGCATTGAAAAGCTTAGATATCATCACCTACTCCATTTTCATAAACCGATAATTCAGTTCCTTAAAATAAAAATATAAGATATTCCTCTAGCTAATTGCGGAAATAGAACTGGAGAAGAAGATACCAGCTTTAATTTGCGGTTAGATGCTGCGGAGACTTTGGGTGGCAGAGAAATTCAGCCGAAACTTCAATTTCTCCTGTCAAAAAAATTGACACGACATCAAGAACCGATGAATTTAAGTGATGAATACAAAAGTGGTACAAATCAACAAAGGAAACAGACTGAAGCTTGTATAACTGAAGGAAAAAAAATTAGAAAGGCGAAGAGTGAGAAAATACATAAAGGCAACATCTGTAGCGGTGACTACTAGGTGGGATAGGTTAAATTGACCTTAGAATCCATATTCTAATCAGCATTCAGTAACACTCATAAGGGTCATAATAGACAATTCAATATACAGCTGGACTAAAATGATCAAATAGCCCTTGGTCGGCAAGTAGGGATGTCGACGGTCTCCTGCTTGCTTTAGGGCTCTTCTATATAGTAGAAATACAAATACTACATTTTCATCAAGATTCATATTCATATTATTCCACGTTTTTCTATCAGATCCGAGAATAGTTCAAACATTCTAGGATTGGCCTGTCACTCATTGTCACACCCCTTTTTACCCCTTCAAAAGATAATATGGGTTATGGATTGTGGGTTAAAGAGCTTTTCTAATTAAAGTGACAAATTTGAAATAGGGATTATTTTATTTACAGAGTCGCCACTTGGAATTGATTTTTGCCGGTGTTCCAAGTCACCTTTTATTTGAATCCCTATTCAAAGTAAGGTTTGACTCTATTATTATTGGTCTACGAAAACAAAATCCGGGTAAGGAATTCTGTTGACCGGGGAGAAGGTATAAGGCATTCCCCCGAGTCCCGTGATTCTAGCACGGTCGCTTTATTGACTATATTTGGGCTTATATTTTTTTATAACGTGTGTTTTATTGGTTCTCATCTTTTACCTATGTTCGTTTTTATTGCTTGATTAAATTTATGAAAAGGTTATCTTGAAATAAGCTACGCGTGTGAATACTTATTTTATTACATATCATAATTATGCCACAGAGACCATACATATAGTCATGATGTTTAATTATTTAAAGCGCACCTAAATAAACTAGCGCACTTGAATTATTTTCCTAAAACTAATTTAAGATTATTATTGTCACGACCTAAAATCCACTAAGGGTCGTGAGGGCGCCGGACACCGCTGTCAGGCAAGCTAACCAAAATACTTAATTAAATTCTCGTTTTAAATATTTCCGAAATCACTTCTTTTATACGTTTAAACAATACATAGTAAATTCCTCTGAATAAATAGTGAAACATTTAACAACTTGTAAAATTTTTGAATAAACCCATAGACATCCCAGAACCCGGTGTCACAAGTGCATGAGCAGTTTCTAAGAAATAATGTAATACAACAACCGTCCGGAATACAATATTAGACAGAAAATAAATACAGTAATCTAAAAGAGACTTGCTGGCTGCAGGCCATCTCGGGAAATGCAGCTCACCTAAGTCTCCGTATCAACCATGCTACTACGCTAGCTAGGCCACTAGAGATGCATGTGCCTGTACAACAAAAAATGCACAGAAGTGTAGTATGAGTACGAAAACAATGTGTACCCAATGAGTATCCTGTCTAATCTCGAAGAAGTAGAGGCGAGAGGTCAACTTCGACACTTACTAGTGGTCCAATAATATTATATCAATAATATATTAAATCGTGGATTTTTATAAACATGATTGTAATTCGATAGGTTGAAGCAAGTAACCAATTCTTTCTTTTATAGGAAATTTCCAGATTCCTTTTCATCATTTATACATATATTCTTAAGACGGGAAGAGGCAATAACAACTTCAATAAGTTTCAAGGCAAGCAATACAAGCATGCGCAAATCATGCCGAGGTCGTACGGTCCGATCCAACAGAAATGTAAAATGTGCACTGCCAAGGGTCGAATGGCGCGAACCATAGATGCATCTATTACCCCGCTCACGAATCCTCCATGTGATGCGGTCAACATAAAATAAACAAACACCATGCTCGTGAATCACACATGCGACGCAGGTACACATAAAATCACATATTCAAACAGTTAATCCAGACTTCATTAGGGAACAACTACCCAAGAAAAATCCAAATCCTCCCTCTCTTTTTTTAACGATTTAAAAAAAATGAAGTTTAATCCTTTTAGAAATTCATTTACCTATTCGATAGAATTTAAGCAAGTCAAGCCATCAATAAGATTACAAATATTTCCAAGTACAGCATACTTTTGGGTCCTAGACTACCCGGGCAATAGCATAATAGTAGCTACACACGGACTCTCGTCACCTCGTGCGTACGTAGCCCCCACAAATAGGAGCACATAACCAATTAACTCACCTATGAGGACAATTCCCTCTTACAAGGTTAGAAAGGAGATTCACCTCACTCTGAAGATCCATAATCGGCATTCCACGCTCTTCCGAAGACTCAAATCGACGCACAATGCTTCAAAACTAGTCAATAATTATGCAAATCCATTAACATATGTTCAATTACTCATTACAGTCCAATTTATAACAATTTCTAGCCAGATCAAAAAGTTGACAAAATTGCCCTCGAGCCCACGTGCTCGGATTCCGAAATTTTTCGAAGATAAAGTTTACCCATGAACTCACGAACTCAAATATATGATTTTCTCTTAATTTCATGTCCAAAATCGTGGTCAAACTTTAAGAATATCAAATTTCTAGGTCTTCTTCAAAATCCCAAATTTCTACAATTTACATGCTCAAATCCATACGCAATCAATATATTTAACTCAAGATAGGTGGGGTTAGCTTATCTTGTCGTTGATGATGAAAATCCCCTCTTGAAACCATCCAAGAATCGCCCAAGCCAAGAAAATATGAGAGAAAATGGCCAAATCCCGATTTTTAAAACACTCACTGCCTGCATCCCTTTCCGCACCTGCGGTCACTTGGCTGCTTCTGTGGTTCCACAGGTGCGGTTCCAATACCGCTTCTGTGTTTCTCCTCTAGCTGCCCCAGCCCGCTTTTGCTCCGCACCAACCGCATCTGCGATCACTCAGGTGCAGGAATTACTTCGCACCTGCGATCCCTGATCTCTTCACTTCCAACCGCTTCTGTGGTGCCCTTCCTCGCTTATGCGGGGCCGCTTCTGCGGTGAACGCTTCGCAGAAGCGGTTACACCAGCAACCAAACCCCTTCGGCTCATCCTTCAAGCTCCAATTCGATCCGTTAATCACCCGGAATCCACCCGAGGCCCCGGGACCCCAACCAATCATACCAACCAGTCCCAAAACACATTATGGACTTGCCCGAGGCCTCAAATCACATCAAACAACGCTATAATCAAGAATTGACCTCCAATCCAAGTTTTATGAACTTTAAAATTTCAAACTTCTACTTTCGATGTTTAAACCTATCAATTCTCGCCCGATTGACTTCAAATTTTGCACAAAAGTCATATTCAACATTATAGACCTACTCCAACTTTCGAAATTGGATTCCGACCCCTATATCAAAAAGTCAACTCTCGGTCAAACTTCCCAAAAACCTTCAAATTTCTATCTTTAGCCAAATGACTTCAAAATTACCTACGGACCTCCGAATTCACTTCCGATTGCGCTCCCAACTCCAGAATCAACATACGGAGCTGTTCCTAGACTCAGAATCCTAAACGGACATCGATAACAATGGAATGTACTTCAATCCAAACTTATGAAATTCTTTCAAAAATGCTAACTTCCATAATAGGTGCCGAAACGTTTCCGGGTCTTCCAAAACCCGGTCCGGACATACACCCAAGTCCAAAATTATCATACGAACCTGCTGGAACCTTCGAATCTCAATTCCAAGGTCGTTCACTCAAAAATCCAATCTTAGTCAATTCTTTCAACTTAAAGCTTCCGAAATGAGAATTCTCTTTCCAAATCAACTCCGAACTTCCCAAAATTCAATTCCGACGATGCGTACAAGTCATAATACCTGAAGTGAAGCTGCTCATGGCCTCAAACTGCTGAACGACGCGCTAGAGTTCAAAACGACCAGTTGGGTCGTTACAATTATAAGGCCAAGAGTTATGGAATTGTTTGTGGAAGAAGTGTATGATTTTAGATATTTGAATAAATAAGTTATCATGTACCAATACCCTACATCCCAACAATTGAAGCCTAAACTTATTAATGTCCAAATCTTCCAAACTTTAAAGCAAATGTGAATATTATATTTTCAGAAACATGATTAAGCATATAGCAGTTAAGGATTGATTTACATTATTATTTATAAAGTTTTAAGATAAATAAATAAAATCACCTAAAATAAGATAAGACCAGAAGGAAGAATAAACCTTTTAATGCAATATTTTCAATTAAATGAGTCTCCAAGAGTAGATATAACAACTCAGACGAATGCCGAACAAGCATAAGCGAAGAAGAACATCAAAGCTAGTGAACAGAGCTCCAACGGAATCCTCGACCTCGACTACTGACACAACTCTTTGGTGTGTAGAAGGGATGTTTTGAAGTATTTTTATTGGATTTTGGGGTGGTAAATTGCTGATTATTTTTCGAAAGAATGACACGAATAGAAATTCTCCGTAGCGTAGAAGAAAAAATATATTTTGTTTCTCTCAATTCTCTCCTCTCTTTTGCTTTCCTCTCTTTTAATTAAAAGAAATCCCACTTACATTTTGCTTTTGTTTTTTTTATAAAATAAATCCCCACCTTTTCTTACTTTTATTTTAAAATTTCAACTTTAATTACTTTTCTTTTTTAAATTTCAACTTTAATTACTTTTCTTTATACTTATTTTACACTCATTTTACTTTTTCTTAAAAAAACAATCCACTTTCTTTTGATTTTCCTTTAAAAATTCTACTTTCTTTTACTTTTAATTTTTTTTTAATTTTCAGCTACCTTTATATTTATTTTTTAATTCCAACTTTCTTTTACTTTTTATTTTTTAAAATTTCCACAAAACTTTACTTTTTTAAAAAAAAAATTCACTTTCTTTTACTTTTTTTAAAAAAGAGAATTTCACCTACTTTTACTTTTTTTTTTAATTCCATACTTCCCTTTTTCTTATTTTTTTAATCTCTTCCGAAATTTTAAAAAAATAATATTTTCGGATTTTTTTATTATTTTAAAATAAAAATAAAATAATATTAATAGTAATAATTCACCTTTTAAAATTTTGTATTTTTACCCTATAATAAAAAGTGTAACAAAGCTAAAAATTGTAGGTTAAAACCCCTAAAAATATTTACATAGA